GGTTTTTTTTTCTTTCATCTATAAAATTAAAATATCCTTATGGTGCAAGACAAGATTCCTGATAAGAGCATCCATTGGGTCTGGCCACTAAGAACCTAGGTTCAAAACCCCAGTTTGCTACTTTCTATCTGTATAAGCCTTTTCTGGATCTCAGTTTTTTCCTTGTGAAATGAAGGGGTTGGACTGTTCCTAAGGCCCTTTCTAGCATTGCCATTTTAGGATTCTAATGAATTATTGAACACTCCCGCTATTTGCCAGCAATTATGCCAAATGTTGTGTTGGGGGAGGGGCAGGCCTTCCAGGAGAGGACTGAATTGGTCAGGTTCAGAAATATACAATTCCTTAATATTTCTTTAACTGGGGAAGTAAGGCAGACATAGACACAAACAGACAAGGAACTCTGGAAGGGACTTCTGTCATTTAGTCCAACCTTTCATCTTATAGAAATCAATCAGTACCTATTTATTGAACTCCTGTGTACCAGGTATTGCTGATCCAAGTACAAAGAATAAAACTGTCTCATATTCACACCACATATTGCAAAGAATGAAACAGGTCCTACTCACATTCTAACTGGAGAGACAACTTTTGTTGCTGTCCAGTCATTTCAGTCACATCCAACTCTTTGTGACCCCATTTGGGGTTTTCTTGGCAAAGATATTGGGGTAGTTTGCCATTTCCTTCTCCAGCTCATTTTGAAGATGAGGAAACTGAGGCAAAACAGGTTAAGTGATTTGACCAGGGTCACACAGCAGGTAAGTGTTGGAAGCTGGATTTGAACTCAGGGCTTCCTCACTCCAGGCCCCTCGATTTATCACTTTGCCACCTAGCTGCTCTGGAGAGACAACACGTAATATGTAAAAACACATGCAACATAAATATAATGTTTATTCATGCACATATACGCCAAGTAGTTAAGTACAAGGTAGTTTGGGAGAAAGGTCACTAGCATTTGGGGAGATCAGGAAAGGCTTCATGAGAAGATGGTTCCTGAGCTGCATTTTAAAAGAAGAGAGAGGGGTGGCTAGGTTGCACTGGCCCTGGAGTCAGGAGGACCTGAGTTCAAGTCTAACCTCAGATCAGACACTTGACACTTACTAGCTGTGTGACCCTGGGCAAGTCACTTAACCCCAATTGCCAAAAAAACAAAAAAAAAACCAAAAGAAGAAGAGGGTGACAAGATGAGGTGAAGACAAGAAGGGGGTGGCATGGGGCACAGCCACTGCAGAGGCATGGAGATAGGGGCATGGAGATAGGAGACGGAGTGTTGGAGATGAAATGTCTTGAGTGAGGAATAGAGAGAAGGCCAGTTTGATTGGATTTCAGGGTGCGAGAGGAAGCATAACCTCCAGTGAGGCTGGGGTCAGCATGTAGGGGAGCTTTAAAAGCTCGCTGGAGTTTATAGTTTATCCTAGAGGGTAGATGGATGGATAAGTTACACACACACACACACACACACACACACACACACACACACACACACACACACACACACACTGTCTCTCTCTCTCTCTCTCACTCACACACACACACACAACCTATCTATCCTAGATAGATAAGGAACAGTAATGATGCAGTAAAGTGCAAATTAAGTAGAGTTACGGGCCAAAATGTGTTGTAAAGATAAATGTTATTGGGGAGTGGAGATTAGAAAGGGGAAGAGATCAAAGATAGTTTCTGAGGTTTCATGAAGGGAATGGAATTGCCAATAAGTATACCCAGTAGTGTGTAAGTCAAGTCTTAGGTTAAAGTGATCAGGTACGTTTCATGTTCAGTCACTTCAGTGTGATAACGTGGCGGTTCCTGGGCAGTGCCTCCTGCCTAGCAGATAGGGAGGACACAGAAAAATACAAATCTTGTTGCCTTTAGATTTTCTGACACCAGTGTACCACCATGGGCACCACTTGGGACCCCTTAATCATGTAAAGCTTTTCTTTCTCCTCCTCATTCTTTTATCTCCACCAGAGAGGACTCAGCAAAGCCCCTTTGACTGGCAACTTCTTAAATAGTTTGCCTCATTCTAATGCACAGATTTTGCAAAGTCTCTTTGTAAATGGGTCTTGGTATTTCATCAGCAGCTCATAAATTTGGGACTTTTCCAAACACAGCCACTCTGCATTTCCTGGCTGGAGCTTCCCCTCCCTCACCCTGGATTTGGATTGTCAGGAAGGGCAGCACTGGTTCAGTGTCAATTTACTGAGTTACCCACAGGTCTTGGTACCCTCCCCTTCTCACTCCCTCACCCCCAGCCTCCCCCAGGATAAAGGTCAAAGGGAGATTCGGGTAAGATACAACTAATTTGTCTGTTCTGGATGGTGAGGAGTCTTCCATTACAGTTGGTAAATAGTCCAACACTGAGCCAGGAGCCCTTTCTCCCCTACAAGGAACACAAGGTCTTTTCTGCTTTTGTTGGTGGCAAGCTGTCTCCTGGAACAGTGAGTAGGGATGAGGGACACAGCTTTTGTCTATCTAGGTATGGGGATAAGGGCTTGCTATTGAAGTGGTACAACTGCCATCTTACTGACTCTCAGTAGCTTTGGGGCTGCAGTGGGCTGTACATTTATTTCAGCAGTGTTGATAACCCACCACTGCTGCCTTCATTGCCATTCTCCTTTTCCCCCTTCCCCTGCCAAGAGGAGAAAGAGGAGAGCAGAAAAAACCGGCAGTGGGAGGTTGGGGGAATGAGATACCCACTTTAGACCGATCTTATACCTGTGTGTCTTCTTTGGCAAGTGATGGGGTTACTTTATGAACTCTCTGAAGATCAAGACTGATTTTATATACGTGTGTGGTATGTACACATGAATATATACACACATACAGCAATCCCTTTCTTTCCACATGGGGGGGAGGGGGCAGGGAGCAGGGTTAGGGGCAAGGTACTCCTGATCTAGAAAATCCACATAAAATGTTTTGGCCTTTTCTTTTTACCAGAGAAGTCTGATTTTTTTCACTTTTTCTTTTATAGGGTGCTTACAAAACTTTACTGTAAAATTTAGGCTGATATTATATAATACTATACATATATTTTATGCATTTCTGAGTTTCTAAACTTTTTCTGTGTCATCTGCTGGCCTTTGTGTGTCATCTTTGGCTTCCACAAAACTCCCCCAAAATTCCCATTTAATTTCTTATGCCAACCTACAGTATGTTGAAACTGAGATGGGGAAAGTCACAGTGTGGAAGGGATTACTGCGCGCACACACACACACGTATGTACACGTATACATATGTGCATTCGTGTGTGTATGTACAGACTATGTATTTTTTGTCCTTATGTCTGCAACATAGCAGAGTATCTGGCACGTATTTTATAAGTACTCGTCATACTTAGATAATTTGTTCTGCTTTCCTAAGGCTCTGGAGTAGGAGTTCTGACCCAAGAAAGGGTTTTCTGTCACCATTCCTCATTCGCTATAACCAACTCAGTGTTTTATGATTGCTGTGGACAGTCATGTTTATTACATCAAACTCCACTGAGTTAAAAAAGGAAGCATCCTAGACTTTGCAGCACATTTCCTTAAGAAACTCCAGGCAGGCTTGCCTGTGTTATCTCTCCATAGAGATACCAGGGATCTCCCAAAGCCCAAACTGAAAGTGGTGGATCTTCCTGATTTGGATCTACCCAAGGGACCGAGGTTAAGAAGGAAAAACCTGGGTGCGTTATGGCCTTCAGCTCCTCAGAGATTGTGCCAAGTACGGCTGTCTTTTGAAGTTCCCTACATGTTTCATAGCACTGAGCACATTTTGCCTACACAACTATTAGTTGTTGCAATAGAAAACACTGAGAGTTAGGAGACCCCTATTCTGTAACTAACTCATTGTGTGACTTGTGGGAAGCTGCGTCCCCCTCGGGGCTTCCCTTCCCTTCTCTGCAAAGACAGGAGGCAAATGTTGTCTGAGGTCCAACTCTGATGATCCATGTTGTCTGACCAGTGGTGACCAAAGCCTTATCTTTCCTGAATCCCTCGGGCTTTCCTCTCTTCCATCTGGTTTTGGTGAGGACTTTCAGATCTAAAAGCTGTATCTTATTCCCTAATCGTAAGGCACAAAAGCCTTGGGACTTGACTAAAATGGTGGTGTGAACATGGCATAGCTTTCCAGAGTTCAGTAGGGAATGGAAAAACTTAAATAAGATAAGGGGAGTTTTGGAGGAAAGACCATGGAATGGACTATTTATCCTTTTAGGCCCACAGAATATCAAGAACTGCAGGAATGGGGAAGAAACTGAGGCCAGAGAGGGGAAATGAATTGTCAGTGGTCACTTAGTGTTGTTGTTCAGTCATTTCAGTCACAACTCTTTATTACTCCATTTGGGGTTTTCTTGCCAAAGATACTAGAGGGGTTTACCACTTCCTTTTCCAGCTCATTTTACAGATGAGGAAACTGAGGCAAACCAGGTTGTAACTTGCCCAGGGTCATATAGCTAGTGTCTGAGATTGAATTTGAACTCAAGACTTCTTGACTTCAAGCCTAGTACTTTATCCACTTTGCCACTAGCTGCCCCATTAAAGAATTGGAGATTGGCACTTGTTACCATAGAAAACTAGAATCATGGTGGCAAGAGGGAGAGAGAGATTTTGAAGAAAGGGTCCATCTTTCTTTTTTTTCCTTCCTTTTTTATTAATTTATTTATTTTTAGTTTTCAATAATCACTTCTGTAAGCTTTTGAGTTTTAAATTTTCTCCCTTCCCTTCCCGCCTCCCTCCCCAAGATGGCATACAGTCTGATATAGGCTCTACATATACATTTCTATTAAATATATTTTCATATTAGTCATGTTGTAAAGAAGAATTAGAACCAATAACAGGAACCACAAGAAAGAAGAAACAAAACAAAAAAGAAGAAAAAAAAAGAGAACAAATAGTATGCTTCCATCTGCTTTCAAATTCTGTAGTTCTTTCTCTAATTGTGGATAGCATTTTCCGTCATGAGACTTTTGGAGATGTCTTAGGTCCTTGCATTGCTGAGTAGAGCTAAGTCTATCAAAGTTAGTCATCACACAGCATGGCTGTTAACTGTGTACAATGTTCTCCTGGTTCTGCTCACTTCACTCATCAGTAAGGGTCCATCTTTCTGGAGTGGTTTAGGTGAAGTTCTCCTCAGAGTTCCAGGGGGAAGGAAGGATCAGGTGAATTTCTGAAATCCTTTGTAACTTGAGGGGTCTGGGCCTGGGGATTTAAGTTATCCAAGAGTGGATTGTGTCTGTCCATCTTGAAAGCACAGCTCACTGGAATACACAATAAGTTCTTGAGAGCTACAGAAGCAGAGCACACCTGAATACGCAATGAGTTCTTGAGAGGTACTGCTCACTTAGCCTAGAGCTCCAGAATTCTGTACAAGAAGATACAAAGAGCAGCATTTTTCTCTGAAAGTGGAACTCCTGGCCTTAGAACAGTAACAGTGCATGTGGAAGGTCATGGGTGACTACAGGTTCCTGCTTGCTATGTTCTTCCACATTCCAAGCCAATGCAGCATGCTGGGATTTCTAGGCAACATCTCCCACAGCAGAGAGTGCTATGGGGTTACATAAGTGGTATTGGAACCTAGTATCATTAGGGAACAACTCATAGCTCATACTTCTGAAACCTTTTAAGGTTTTCCAAAGTTCTTTCCTCCCAATAACCCTGGCAGGTAAGTAGGGCAATCTTTTACAGGTGAGGAAACCAAGGGTCAAAGCCAGAACTTGAATTGAGTTTTTCTAATTCCCAAGTCTAGTACTTTCTCCAGTATATCATCCTGCTAAATTGTGTGTGGGGGGGTGGGGGGTGGGGAACCTTCTTGCTAAATTCTTTCTCATTACTCTTCCTTATGCTCTACTTGTCCCTCTTGTCAAACTTGGCTCAAAATTCATAGCGTCTAGAAAGCCTTTCCTGAATAAACCACAATTTGCCCCAATTCTTTCTTTGTTTAATGCCTTTCTATGTGAATATAATCTGTTTTTCATACACATATATCTGTATATAAACACATATGCCTACACTCTTATTTCTTTGTTGTTTTTATTCCTAAGTATTCCCAAGTTTTGTTTTTGTTTTGTTTTGTTTTTAAAACTTAGAATGTGCTTTCATACAATATGTGCGCTATTTCTGTTGTGTGCTATCCGGGGTTTTTATCTACTGGGGGGTGGGTCAGGAGGTAGGTTCTAGTCCTAGCTTTGCTAGGTGATCTTGGGCAAATCACTGAATTTCCATACCTCACTTTTCTCCTCTGTAAAACAAGATAGTTGCACCAGAGAATCTTCTAGAGCCCCTTTTCTGCTCTTACCTCACCCCCAACATTCTAGGATAGTCAAGTTTTCCTTGCTCATTGGCTTATTGTAGTTTGGCTGTGCTATTGATGGCCTATTTACAGTGATTTATACTGTCGAAGCCAATTAAATTCAATAAAAATTTATTAAGCATCTGTCACATCCAGTGCCCTGACTCCAATCTAGGATGCTAGCCATGTGGTCCTGTAGTTACAATGGAGTATGAGTGATGAAAGGATGGCTGGTGCCAACCGCACATTAAGTAGGACTTTGTTACCTTAGAATGGAGCATCTAGAGGCCAGGGTACCTCTTAGGTACAAGATGATCATAGATTTAGAGCATGGTTGGGTTGGGGGGGAAGGAGTGGTGGTGTTCAGGGAGAGGTGATACTTGGTGGATTCTTCCACAGGGAATAAATGGTACCTGTCAGCCAGTCCTTATGGTGGGCAGTCCTTGTGGAAGGAATCTTTGCCTCTTCAAAGGAGAAACTGTGTCTGGTAGAGAAGTAAGTTCATTTGTCTAGGCCGGGGATTCCCCCCTTTTTTGTGACCATCACCCCTTTGGCAGTCAGATGAAACCTCTGGGCCCTTCTCAGAACAATTTTTTTTAATCATCATTCACGAGAATGCTAAAATTTCACTTAGAGGTTAGTGATAATAAAGTTAGAATTCTTTTTCCAACCAAGTTCATGGATCCCCTGAAATATATTCACGCACCCCTATGGATCCCAGGTTAAGAACTCCAGGCCTAAAAGTAGGTGTGGGGGGGTGGCACTTGCTAAGGCTTTATTGGAACCCTAGACAGGTGGTATGGTCAGGATAATGGGCCCTTTGAGCCCCACTTTGGGTCTTTCAGCAGCTGCCAACAGTACTACCCACCCACCCATCAGTCTAGCAGCCCTAAAAATGAAAAAGGAAATAAGGCCTAGCCTTGCAGCCAGCTACAAAGAGCAAATCGCTGGATCTGTTTGGTTAATTTAACAGATTAAGCCAGTTGTTAAACTGACCAATTTAAAAAATGCCAAACTTGCCAGCAGTTTTGCAAGCCTCTGATGTGAGCTCCTCCCTCCTATCCCCCCTTCTCCTCTACCCCTCCCCCCCCCCGGGACGGGGTGCCCGGACTCCTTGGGAGAAGTGTTATGGGCAGGAGGAGGTGGGGTTGGGGAGAGGGATGCTGGGGTTCTGGAACAACCCTGGGGGCTTGGAAGACGGTTGGTTTCCCCCCCCCCCCAAATTCCTTCTTAAAACAAAAGGCTCTTATTTAGTAAACACCAGCACACACCTCCGGGAAGGAGTTTCTCCAGCTCACTCCCGGATAACCTGAGACTTCATTTTCTTCTTCTTGTCCCCCTTCCTTGGGTTGCTTTGTTTTGTAGGTGTAATTTTGGAGTGGGTGGGTGGGATCCTCTCTGTGTGTTTTTGTTGTCGTGTTTCAGCCCTGGAGGTCCTGTAGGGAAAAGACATTCAGCCCTGTCTGCTCCACTTCTCTGCTAATTGCCTCCTTACCTTTATTGAACAAGGTTGGAGGATTTCTTTTTATAATGGTTTTCCAAGGCACTGAGGAGGCTGCTAAGTGGATCCCTGCTGTATCTCTGGGGCAGCGCCCAGGACGAGTCTCTACTTGGGACTTCAGCATAGGACCTTGTTTGACAAGCTCCAGAAGCCTGTCTGGGAGGGAAGGGGGTGGGGTGGGGGTGGCCCAGGAAATGTGGGGGAGGGGAAAGTAGTGGGCTGAGCTTAGCCAAGCTGGAGAGCAAGTCTTGGGTTACATGTCTCCCAGTGAGTCTGGGTTGCTTTCACCCTCTTTCCCCACTCCAATCTCAGATCAAAACAGCCTCCTTGGGGAACAGGGAAATACCTCTCCTGATAGTGCCACCAGTGAGTAAACAGTGGAGGCCTCTGGCTGTGTTGGAAGGAGCAGAGCTGGAATGCAGAACATTTCATTTTAGGGCTGGACTTAGGTTTCTACTTCTTTCGATATTTGCAAATTTGAAACAAATGCCCTCATTTAGCAGCAGGCAGGCTGGGCTATAAACAGGAGCTGTTTATGGGCGTTTATGGTAGTCACAGGTATTTGTGGAGAGACCCCATCAGGTCTGGGGAGGGGAGGGTTTATGGCTAGGTGGGCTGGAAAGAGAGGGAGAGATCCCAGCCAGGTCTCCCGTGGAAGGTTGTTGTGAGGTGGGTGATGCCATAAAAGTAATTACAGCCTCCTGACCCCCAGGAAGGAGCCCCTTCTGGAGGACAAAGGGGATTGGGATGGTGCTGGCCCCTGGGGGGTTGGGATTTGGGGGCCTTCTTCCCCCATAGCAGGCAGGCAGCCAGCCTAAGCTCTCCAGTTTCTTATGTGTCCGCCTATTTCCAGGACCAGTAATGACCATTAAATTTACTTTATGACCCTGGACTTAGAAACAATTGATGCTAGTCCTTTTCCTGGTCTTTAGGGGTTTAGGACTGGGAGGAAGAAGGTGGGGTGCCCATTTTCCTTTTGGTTTCTAAAAGGGGTATTTTTGAAGTTATGGCTGAAGTAAGATGCTCTTATTTGAGATCTGTCAAGTGTGCTTTCAGTGGGTGCAGGTAAACTAGAATAATTTTGAGCTACAGTTAAAAGCCAAAGGCTTCTAGCTGGAAAGGACCTTAGGCCATCTAATCTAAACAAACTCCCTCCCATTTACAGATGAGGAGATAGAAACAGAGAGGTTTAGTAATTTGCCAAGGCTCACACAGGTTTTCCATTGTTGTTTCTCATCCCACTTCTCTTGATAAACAGCATAGCTCTAATGTTAATACTCACCATATTTCACCATAGAGAATTTAAATTTAAATAAAATTTAATTTAAATAATTTAAATTTAATTTAAATTATTTAATTATTTAAATGATTTAATGTAAATCATTTAAATAAAAACTTTTCACTGTTGCAGTTACTCAGCAAATATCATTTCCTTCCACAATGGTTATATTATAGCCAGCAGGGGAACTTCTGACCTCCAAAAAGCACCCTGGGACTTCTACTCTTGGCTTTTTCTTGACTATCATCCCTCAGCTCTTTTCACCATTTGAATTCCTACCCATCACTTAAAGCCTACTCAAATGCCCCCTCCTCCATGAAGCCTTCCAACATTAGCCACTCCCCCAAATCACTCATTCATATCATGGTTGGACATGTGATTTTATTGGTATGGGGAACTCCCCAGTGTGGACCCTTCCTCTACCAATGCAGGGTAACACCTTCTCTTGCAATTTTTTGTCTTGAGAGTTGCCTAGAGTACCGAAGAGATTAAGTAACTTGCCTAGGATCACAGTTATTATGTATCAGAGGCGTAACTTGAACCCAAGTCTTCCTGTCTCCTGGGTCATCCCATTCCATCTACTGCGTGTCCTTGTGTGTGTTGTGTAATAAATAGTGGGCTGCATTGAGATCAGGGACCTAAACTTTCTCACCCGGTATCAAACACAGTAGCTTCACATTGGGCGCATTTTATTGTTGAGATACTTATTAAGCTTCTATTTAATGTTCTTTCCTCGGTTTAGTTGTGGAGAGAAGACAGAGGCATTAGAACCTCTAGAAGAAATTCTAGGCTCTAGAAGTATCAAGGTAGGGAAAGACCCTGCTTAATGGGCTACCAAGGGCCTGGGGTGCTTGGGACAAGAGGGTAGGCGGGATTGAGCTGTGTGTTGAGTGAGCTTGTGAGGGGCCTTTGCCCTCCTCCTTGAGGCACCATGTGGGGACACCAGAACCATTCAGTCTCATTAGTTATCTTGCCTTCCCCAGAGTCCAAGTGGTTCTTAGGGCTAGGAGCTTTGTATTTGGTTGAGATTGTGTGTTTGGCCTGAGATACTGGCATTTCAGGAGGAGGTGTTTTTCCACTGTGGGTGGATTTCAAGATCTGGATGGTCCCCAGTATTTTTTTTTCCTTAGACTGCAGCATGGATTTATCACTTAAGCCCTCCTGAACATTCACCCCTTGCTTCCTGGGCACCTCATCCGTCTCTGCCTGGCAGTTAGTTACAGCCCTAGCTTTTCACCTGGAAGGGTGTGCCAGTTGGGGCCAGCCTTGGTGTGGAGGAGCTCTCTGACTCATTATCAGATCAAGCATTTAGCTTTGACTGCAGAGCCCTGGGGGTCTGGTAGCCTGGGCCTGATAGCTTGTGAAGTCGGAATGTGGAGGTCTTTTCTCTCCTCCCTTTCCCCTGGGAATGTTAGGGAGATGAATAAAGTATTGTAGGTTAGGGCTTTTAACTGCTGGGAAGAAAGGTGTCAGAGATTTTTCTCTGAGGTCTGTCTCCCTCTCCATTCTAGCTAGTTTCCTGCTGCCCTTTGATATACTAGTAAAGGCATTTTTAGTGGGCTATTTTGAGGCAGAACCCTTAAGCCTTGATGTGAAATGCCTGCATCTGGGGGAAGCCAATCCTCTCAACCCGAGGGCGGTGGGGGGTGGAGAAGGTAATGAAGCCCCAAAGACTCTACTCACTTCTACTCAATTGTGTAAATGCCTACTATGTGCTGAGCAGTCATGGGGCCGGCCCTTGGGAACCCTGATTGCATTCGTTGAGTTCTGCTGACTTCTTGGTTTGGCTTTAGTTCATTCCTTTGGTCTCCCCACCCCAACCCCCCAGCCTTTGATGCCTTGTTTACATCTACGGCCAGAAAAATTTGGACAGGATTTGTAAGGACTTAACTGGGTCTCTTTCCAGTTCCTACCCTCATAGGTGGAAACTGTGGCAGTTGAATTAATTGCTGGCTTGTAGGATCATGGTGAGCTGTTGATCAGGTTGACAAGCTAACAAACTCCCCTGAGCCCCAAGTTGGAAATGTGCTGAAGGTTGCTCTTATGTGCTTGGCAAATTGTTTCCCCGCTACGCTCAAGGAGAATTTAGATAGGGAAAAACAAGGTGTGAATTTGGTTTTTTATGCTGTATCTGTTTTTGTAGCTTTCAGTTAAGTCGGGTTTAGGTCTGCAGGAGTTAGGCTTTTCAGGTAGATCCTTCTTTCCTCTGCATCTGGTAGGGAAAAAAGGAGGAGGGGTTGGCTTTTGGGAGCTGGGAGATGTTTGCTCTTGAATACAGGATGTGTGGTGACTGGATGAGATCCCACAGCCCATTGAGATGCCTGTGACCAGCCCCTTTCATTAGATCAAAGCAATACCTTTTGTTTTTCCAATGATACTCTCCACCCTGGAGCCAGAGCTATAAAGCACTGAACTCGGATGGTCTCCATCTGGGCTGCTGAGGAGGGGGTCGAGGGGGTTGGGAGATGTCATTCCCTGTGGATTTGAACTTCCTGCTAGTTGTCCGTCCTGGGCACTTACTGCTTTTTCAAGAATCTGTCTGGTTTAGCCTGACCAGGCCCCAGCAGGCGCCATGTCATGCCATGCCATGCCATGCCATGCCTCAGATAGGGTAGCTCCTCCTGAGCCCTGCCCAGTTTGGATGCTAGGCTGGGGAGACAAGCCGTCCTATGTGGCTGGTTTTCACTCCGGGCTACATGTTTTGTTGCTGAATCATTTGCATTCATTTAAAGTAGTAGAGGGTGAGTGATATTTCAGGCTTTAGTACTGGGTTGCTAGAAGACTTCTTTTCCGTCTTTAGACCTCATTAAGAATTCAGAGGGCAGCGGTATGGGGTCTGTAACTGCTCGCCCTAGGGCAGTCCATTCAAAGCTTGCTTAACTTCTGACTGCCTTGGGCAGAGGCCAGCTACTAAAATATGAAAACTGTTTGCCCAGCAGCCCCCAGAGTCTGGCCAGACTGCCCTAGCCAAAGAAAACACACATTTATAATCCATTATGGAGCCTCATCTAAAGTCTTTTTACTCCTCAAAAGTCTTTGTCTCTTCTCCAGCAGTCTGGGTCAGTCAGCTAACATTTTTTAAGTGACCACTACGTGCCAGGCTCTGTGCTAACTAAACACTAGGGATGCAAAAAGAGGTAAAAGACAGTCCCTGCTCTCAAGGAGCTAACGGTCTAATGGGAGAGACAGCCTATAAACAAAATGTAGACAGGATAAATTGGAGGTAATCAGCGGAGAGAAAGCACTAGCGTTAAGGGAGACTTTCCTCTTGAATTTCCTTGTGCAGCAGCTCCTTTGGGGCTGTGGAGGTACCCCCTGTATTCCTTTGGGTCCTTAGCATTCTGTACAAATATCATTTAGCGGCTGATCCCAGCACAACCAGTTTCCAGATTGGCTGTGTCCAGAAATGCACATCTCACGCATCTTGAGTCCATCCATCAGTTCTTTGTCAGGAGACGGGAAGCATGTTTTATTTTTGGTCCTCTGCATTCATTAGAGCTCTTAAGGATTTCAGAATTGTTTATCTTTACAATGTTGTTCCTATGTAAATTGTTCTCTTGAGTCTGCTTACTTCTTTTTGAATCAGTTCATTTAAGTCTTCCCAGGTTTCTCTAGAGAAGTTCAGTGACTTGTTCAGGGTCACACGAGTAAATGGCAAAGCCTGCATTCAGAGGAAGGTTCTGTGACTTAAAATTCTCTTTATTGCACCCCACTACCTATGTCTGGCATCCTGGGAAAATACTAACTTTACCAGAAACTGATGCTTCTTTCCATTTTTGTATTTGTAGAATCTGCTGTCATTGTCTAGCTAGGTGGC